CAGCAGCACCGTTATTGTTTGCAGCACTTGTGTGACCATAGTAACCTACGATACCAGGAGCATTATACTTAGCAGCTGTAGCATTGATCGTTACTGTGTTAGCAGCAGGAACCGCATTGGTAGTTACAGCAGTTACGTAAGTACCTTCACCTAAGATCAGGGAACCAATACCCAGGCCAATGTTCATTGGGAAGGTAGCGAAACGTGTAGTACCAGTGATAGAGATATCATTTGCAGTCAGCGTGAGTTCACGGGAGCTTGCAACGTTATCCCAGGTCATAGCGGTTGGGTTTGCATCATTCAGCTTGTAAACATGAGCAATAACTCTTGAACCAACTGCAGTACCTGTACCGAAAGAAGCAGAGATAGAAGTTAAGGTATCAGACTTACCGGTAGGGATGTCAAAACGTGTACCGAAGTAAAAGTTAGCTTCACCTGCGGAGTGTGTATTCGGACGGTGCAGGAAGTAACCACCTGTAATTGTAGAAGCGTATGTAGTGTAAGCAGAGTCAGTTACATTGAAACGGAAGGTATCAACATTGTTTCGCGTATAACCATCACCAGTCAGGTTTACACCGAAAGTTGCTACATAGTTATCAATAGTTGATGGTGTGTAAGCAGCACCCGCGCCTGTCCACTCTACCAGAGAGTCAACTGCTACTGCAGGAAGGCTAGGATAAGTAGCTACCTGGTTGTAAACCTGTGTAGTACCTCTGAAAATGGTTGCACTTACTGGTACGTTTGTTTGACCGGCAGAACCATTGTTGGTCAGCGCCAGTATCGGAGTAACCGGAGTTACCAGTGACAATGGAATAGCGCTGTATGTGCTGTAACCAGTGTAGCTTGGGCTAGGACCGTCAGCAATTACACCACCCAGACGAGCTTGTACTTCTACTGGATCCAGTTCTGACAATGCAAGATCATCGATCATCCATGCATAAGTACCACCCAGGTATTCATTCTTGTAACGGAAACGAAGCCTAACACTTGCCTGGCCGCCTGCTACTGAAGAAATGTTGATACGAACGTCGGCTGGATTAGCAGAGAAGCCATTTCCAGCAAGTGTATTGTTTTCATTTACAGGGAATTCTGTGAAAGACGCGAAGTTGTCGCGGCTTACCTGTACCCAGCAAGAATCCTGTAATTTCTTGTAATAGCTTTGGAACTGCAGTAATACTGTTGGATGTGTAGCGCAGTTATAAGCAGGTGATGTGATGGTGCCTTCGAAAATCGGGCTTGGCGTACTCGCTACGCTACCAATTGAATCGGAGTCAAAAATCAACCAGCCATTGCCGGCAGTTGTTGAGTTGATAACACCCAGGCTACCACTGAATTGGCTTGTAGCAGCTTGCCTGGTCCAACGCCAGCCACCGCTGCCGCCACCAGTACCACGAACCCAGCCGGTTGGCAGGGTAGATACTGTACCTGAGCTGAAATCTTCAGTTACAAATGGAGTAGCTGTTCCTTTATTAGCTGTTCC